ATTTTTTAATAAATTTGTTAAAAAATCTGGTATTTTACTATAGATTTTCGCGATTGTTACACACAAATTGTTCATATTCAATATAGTACACTGGACACCCCAATGTTGCATGGTCGAACATCATGTAATATAAATAGAACAATGGTCTTTTGTAATTAAGTTTTAGTTTAGATTAGAGAGACGAATAGTAAAGTCTTTGACAATAAAGAAATATAAACTTTGTTCTTAGTGAATAAACTGTATCTTAGTGATATCGTATTGGTGGTGATAGTATCTAGTACGATACTTCAGTCATCACACAATTAGCCAAGTGAGTGAAGTTTGGTAGTAAAGACCCACAAGTATACGGTAGTTTAGATAACTCCATGACACAAGGACCTGGGCAAGGCAAAGGTCTTTTCGAAGTAACGTGTTTGTCATGCTTGCTAAGTGCAAGTTTAAGAAAGTTGTGCTGTGCACAATTGGTAAATTCAAGTGCCTTGGTGGCAAAATAACGAAATTAGAGTCAAAAATGAAAGATGTGAATTACCTGGTGACGTTAGTGAAAAATATTGTTGAATTGGTAGTACAAGAAATAATGAAAAGCTTAAAGACTTATCAAGGTAAACGAAAAAAGTGTATAACGTGTTTGTGTTATGTGTGTCAACATAAAGAGCACTTGGCTCGTTCGTGTCCGTATATGAAAGACCAAGTTTGTGAGTGACGGTTGAACAATAAGTTGATAGAAGTACATTGTATTAATATTGGTGAAAAGAAGTGTAATAAACAAAGTATAAAGCAAAGAAAAGAAAAAGTTAAAGACAATGATGAAATGGTATGGAAAATGGTAAAAATTAATGGAGAATTTGCAGAAGCGTCGATTAAAGTTAGTTCGAGTATAAATAAAATAAGTATAAAGTACGTGAAAAAGAGAGGGCTTACTTGGAAATGTTTGAACAAGATAAACAGTGGTTGTATGGATGATGGGTTTATTGGATATATTCATGGTGTCGAAGTTGACGTTAAAGGTGTAAAGGCAGTACAAAAGTTCTATATAAAGTGTGGATTACTTTCTGATATAGTTCTTGGTATGCTGTGGATTGTGAAAACAAGGTGTAGTTTTGCATGGAAGGATGAAAAATGTCACTATACGATTGAATCAGGTAATAAAAAAGCAACGTTCGTGATCTTTGATGAAAATATCCAAGATGAATATGTAATGGATAGAGGTAATATGATAAAGAATGATGCTCAAAGAGGAAATGAATTTGTGGATATTAGGTGTGTCAAAGGTGATTTGAGTAAGGATGATGATATTAATGATGAAGAGAAGAAAAAGGGGATCATTAATATAAAGATGAACTTTGATGAATCAAATCGAATAGGCAAAACAAACGTTGAAAACATACCTGAAGTATACTATAGAAACAATGATAAAAAAGAATTGGTGAAGAAATTTGTAATCAATAATGATGATAAAAATCATGTTAATGGAATGCATAAAATCGAGTATTGCTACAAAAATGGAATTGAAATTGTAAGAAGTAAAAGTGATGAAAATAAGGCATTCAATTGTTATCGTAAATCAGCTAAGATGAATCATGTTGAAGGAACATATAATGCTGATAAAGCATTTATTGTTGACATTGCTATGAAAAAAAGCATGTTAATGAAATATGTAATTATGATCGTTGTTATGAAAAGGGAATTGATGTTAAAACAGATGAACGTAAAGCATATATTAATAATCAAAAATCTGAAGAAATAGGAATTTTTGATGAAATCAACGATCTTGAATGTAGTTATGAAAAGAGAACTTATGATAAAAAGGATAAACATAAAACGTTCATTGATTATTAAAAAATACTAATATGGGTGATCCCAATAGTGCATTTGATGTTCAAAGTTGTTATGAAAATAGGATTGATGCCAAGAAGAATGAATGTAAAGCATTTGTTAATTATCAAAGATCTGCTAATGAAGATTCTGATGACAAACTGAATAACGTAGAATATTGTTATCAGCATGAAATTGGAAAGCGAACATTAAATAGTATGATGAGATTGAACGATTATAGAAAGGATTTCGCAATATTAGGCAATACAAACTATCAATTAATCAAAAGGTATAGTGTTACAATGATTGTGGATCGAAAGGCAAATTGGAGTGATACTACATTGTGTAATGGTGAGAAAGTTGAATTCCTTAAATGATTGTATTTGGATCATATAATGGAATGGTAAATGTGGTGTTCGGAAGTCATCTTGATGTATAAAAACTCGAAAGAATAAATGTACGAATGATGTTGGATCAAAAATAATTATAACAGTCAATAATAGTCAAAATTATATAGACATTTGAATGTTATTGTAGAATAATGATTATAAAATAATGATCTATGTATGTTAAAAGTTAGTAATTGGTTGGGTAATTTGTTTTATAAAGGTAAGACTTCGGGACAAAGTCCTGGGGGTCTAGCTCATGACGCGGTAGATTTGGTTGACACATGTTTGGTAGCACATGATCAGGATCGGGTTCGTATAACTTATGCGTTGCATTGTCGAACATCATGTAATATAAATAGAACAATGTTCTTTTGTAATTAAGTTTTAGTTTAGATTAGAGAGACGAATAGTAAAGTCTTTGACAATAAAGAAACGTCTAAACAATAAACTTTGTTCTTAGTGAATAAACTGTATCTTAGTGATATCGTATTGGTGGTGGTAGTATCTGGTACAATACTCCAGTCATTGCGCAATTAGCCAAGTGAGTGAAGTTTGGTAGTAAAGACCCACAAAGTACACGGTAGTTTAGATAACTCCGCAACATATACTATAAATCTTTCAATGTTAAATTCTCATAATAATCACTAAGCATTATTTGGCATACAGTAATTGTATAAGCCAATCGAATATTTGAAAATGTGGTACCAGGCCACACCTTATCAAGGATTCTTGTTATATACATATCTGGAGAATTATCAGAATCTATTTTCGTAAAAAGCTTAGCATAGCAAGCTTGTGTTTTTGGCAAAGACTTCTAGTTTCTTATTTCAGATAGAGTTGCATTAGTAGTAATTGAATCTAACTCTTTCTCACCAAATATAGCAAACATAGCATCTTTGATTTTAGATAAAAGTGCACTTCTTTGTGAGCAATGTGCCTCTTTAAGCTAAATAAATTATAAAGTTAAGTGAATAAACAAAATTATTTCAAACTAATTTGAATAAAATTTAAAAAACAAATATATTTTATAATTTTTGAAATAATTTGGAAGTAATTAATTTAAACAAAATGAATAATTAAAATTTAAATAAAAAAAATATAACAAATATGAAAATATTAAAACAAATAATAATATTAAATCAAAAAAAAATGAAAAATGAAAAAAAAATATAGAATTATTCGAAAGATTTTGAAAATTTTAAAATATTATAAATATTTTATAAAACTTTATAAGTCTAGCAAACTTCGTATTAAATATTGAATTTCAATTGCTTGGTTGCATGTTTTTCTAGTATTCACTTTCATTATTATCTAAATAATCAGCAGTTGCCATTTTGAATTCATTTTTAGTGAAATATATACTGTAATTTATTAAGGCTTTTGTAGTTTCTTTAACAGTATTTTATAATAAAAATAATTATTATTAACTAAATTAATTTAATTAAATACAATATAGTATAATTACTTTAACGAAATTCATATCATTAGTAAGATTAAAATTATCTATTATTTTAGTATTCAAATCAGCAATTTTTTTTCAATATGATTAACTTTCTTGGATAATTCATTAAGTTTATCCATAATAGCCAATAAAGTAACATTATCTTAAAAAATATTAAAAGTATTTAAAAAAAATAATATAAATAAAAATTAATAAAATAAACTAAAATTATTTTAAGAAATTTAACCTTCTGAATAACCATGGATATCACACAAAGTACTGTGAACATGTTCATTAGAATGATAACCTAACTGAACAGTTGGAGCTTGTAGTACATGAGTGCTAGCAACAAGTGAATTAAAAAAATTTTAGTTAGAAATTCTACTTGATTTGGATTCTTTGGTCTTTCTAAATAAAGCCATTTTGAATATAATAAGATAATAATATAAAAATAAAAAATACTGTAAATTATAAAAATGTAAAGGAAATAAAAAAAAATAATAAAGAATGTATAAAATAAAATAAAGAGAAATTAAAAAAGATTAAATATATTTGAAAAAATGTAAAAATTTGGGAAATAAATGATAAGTGAAAATATAATAATAGAAAATATGAAAATTGTAATTAGAAAAAATAAAGTTAGATTTAGAATATGCAAGAGAAAGTAGGAGAATTTTAAAGTTGATAAATTGAAATGTAAATTGAAAGAAAAAATTACAAAGATTAGAGAGGCCGAAATTGAGTTATTTTAAATATTTTTAATAAAATTCTAAAGTAATTGAATATGAAAATAGCTTTATTATTCAACTATATTTAAGTATTTTGCTATATTTAAAGTAATCAATATTTTATTCGATACTAAGATTTATTTAGTTATTTAATATATTAAATACATTAGATAAATTACACTCTATTGATATTTAATTGCCATGGTACTCTTTTAATATATTTAACTATTTCTGAACAAATTTGAAAACTTTTAAAACAATGTGCAATAAAGTGATTACTTTAAAAGCAAAAGCTTCTATCAACTATTATTCTTTTAACCTTTTATTACTATATTTAGAATAGCAAAATAAATAATCTGCTTGAAAACAAACAATAGCCATTTATAAAAACTTTCACTATCATGCATATCATGCATTCTTCTATTGTTTCATAGAAACATTCTAGATTTTATATAATCAGGGTTTACAAACAAATATTAGTTAGTACTAAAGTAATAGATATATAAAGGGTTTAATAGTAATGAATAAAAGTAAAATTTTTACTTTTTAGAAATTAAATCGTTGAATTAATAAAATGAACTTTTATAGAAATCACAATATTTTGAATAATTTAAAATATTTAAAAAAATAAATTATGAAGATAGTAGAAGAAGAGACTTTAAATATTTTAAATATTGTAAATAAATTTAACTATTTCAAATATTTTTAATTTATTTGAAACATTGCAAACATTAATACATTTAAAAAAAGTATTAATGAATAAACAAAGAACAAAATGATTTGATAAATTCAAAATTTTAAAATTCTAATATTAAGAAAGAGATATGCGATAAAAAAAAAGAAGAGATGGTATTAGTAGAATGTAATAGGTGGGAAGTATGTATTATTAGAAAGGTGATAGAAAACATAGATATTAGAGATAAGCTTATAGAGTATTTAGATCAAAACACTAGTTTGGATAGTTTAGTTTTCTATACTAATAGCTCACTCGGAACATACAAAGTTTCAGGGGTGATGAGAATGAGTTGTGGAATAGTGCAAGTCTTAGAAGAAGGACAAATTTTACGTCAAATTGCTCTTGCAACAAAAAATTGGTTTTCATCAACTAGAGCAGAACTCATTGCAATACTTATTGCAATATTAGTAACACCAAAAGAAAAGAAAGTAGAGATAAGAACTGACAGTAAGGCAGCTATACTAGCAATTCAGAAAGGGCTTGAAATGCACAAAGTTAGATATTGGATAAAAACTAAAAATAGTGGTCTTGTTGCAATGATAGCAGAAGTGATCAAAACCAAGCAGCTAGTGCTCGAACTAGTAAAGGTCAAGAGTCACTCAGGGGACTTTTATAATGATCTAGCAGATATTAAGGCCAAAGAAGGTGCAGACAGTGCAGAACTTTTAATTCCCAACACACTGAGTACAAGAGAATTCAAGCTAAAATATAGTTGGGAAGGCGAATTAATAGAGAAACCAACACACACTTTTATTAAAATACTAGGAAAAGTGATTAATAGAGTAGAATGAATATATATCAAGATACCTCACATCAAGAAAGAAAAGTTGCACAACACTGGCCTGTATTTTACAAAATCTTGGAGAGTGGAAAAAAACAGCAAGATCATACTTTCAAGTCAAATATACAACAGCTCTTCAAAATAAAATGTATAAATAATGCATTACTAGTACTAGCAAAGCTTAATTAAAGAAGACCCAACCTATACAAGGCTTCAACATGTATAGCATGCAAAAAGAAAGAGAAAAATATAGAACATTTGGTTAGCTGCAAGTTCTCAACGAACCTTCTAAAAGATATAGAAGAACAAGAAGTAGAAAGAGTTTTTAATAAAATAGTACCAGAAGATATATAAGAAAAAAAAGAGTCAATACTCGTGGTATTAGGAAAAAGTAGCATGCTCGAAGAGCTACAAAGAAGAGCTAGATAGATTAGAGGTCTAATTATAAAAGAAAACTTCGATGATTTGTAACAAAATTGTAACTCAAACAAACAGACTCTTAGCTTTATAGAAAAATTCTAGAAGGATAAAACAAGTCTATGAAAAGATATAGATCACAAGATGCAAACTAGTTCAAAAATAGGAAAGAAAAATTGAAATAATGAGAAGGGCAAAAAGAAGATCCAACCCAAGGTCCAAGGATAAAATAAATAGAAAAAGGAGAAAGAAAAAAGAAGAAAGTAAAGATAGGAAGGGGGAGACAGGAAAATCTAAAAAAGAAAGCGAAGCATGTTGGAGAAATACACTAGATTTAGCCAAGAAAGCAGTTTTAGTTTAGATTAAAGAAGGCCAACATGCATCATGGTGAAAAGCTAATTAGTAGTCTTGACAGACCATAGAAACCATCCAATAAAGTATCAATGAGCTTATATCAAAGCAAGTTGGTACTGAGGTAAACTTATACTATAGCAGGTTGCGCATAGGTGTTCTAGAAACAACCAGGTAAGCCAACACTTGTAACTTAGATATCAAAAGGAATAGCCTTTTGTAAAAGTCGTAAATTTTATGTATAATGTAAAAATTATAATAGTCTAATAAAGTAGTAGCAAGACTGCCGAATTGAAAAAAAAAAATTCTAATATTATCAAAATATTTATAAAATATATTTACTTTTGTAGTTATATTAAGTTTTTTAATAATTGTTATTCTTTTCACAATATAGCAAA